TGGTATGGTATGGTATGGTATGGTATGGTATGGTATGGTATGGTATGGTATGGTATGGTATGGTATGGTATGGTATGGTATGGTATGGTATGGTATGGTATGGTAATTTGAAGTTGTCATGAAATATACTTGTAACACAAAGATAAAATGTGTGTTTTTTTAAACTCCAAGAAAACTACAGAACAAATGGAAAAAGTGTTTTGTTGTATAATTTGGAGGCTGGAATGTTTAATTGTGAATGGTGACCATTACTGCAATAAACAACATATTTATTATTTCATTCCTCTAAATTAGATTGTTTCATTTCTAAACAGCTTACCAAAAGTTAATTACATATTTGATTTGATTTGTTGAACCTGCTGAAACATTTCAGAAACAAACGGCAGAGGTTAAACTCTCCACATAACTCTCCACTAGCCCCTCAGTCGTTTCCAACTTCCGGCCTGTCTCCAGACTCCCATTTGTTTCTAAACTACTGAAGAAAATAGTCGAGTCCCAGTTGAAGTGCTTCCTGGAGGATCACGCCATCTTAGAGCTATTCCAATCTGGCTTTAAACCTCTCCACGGCACTGAAACTGCCCTGCTGAAGGTTTTTAACAACATCTTCAGAATCACAGATACCGGTGATTCTGTGCTGCTTGTCCTGTTGGACCTCACAGCCGCCTTTGACACCATCGACCATGAGATCCTCATTGCTAGGTTGGAGCAGTGGGTGGGCATCACAGGGTCAGCCCTCAATTGGCTCAGATCTTACCTCGCTGACAGATCCTTTAGTGTCTCCATCAAGGATTTTAGTTCTGCAGTGGCAGAGCTTAAATGGGGGGTTCTGCAGGGGTCCATCCTGGGTCCCCTCCTATTCTCTTTATACCTGCTGCCACTTGGTGCTATTTTCTGGAAACACAACATGCCCTTTCACTTCTACGCCGATGACTGTCAAATTTACTTCTCCCTAAGACACAATGGTACATGCTCTGTTCATCCTATGCTCAACTGCCTGGCTGACATCAGGGACTGGATGGCTTTAAACTTCTTAAGTTTCAATGAAAAGAAGTCTGAAGTCATGTTGTTCCCTCCCAACGACACAATCACAAACCACTGCATCGACCTTTCTACTCTAACCCTGTCAGAAAAACAAAGAGTCACTAATCTGGGAGTGATAATGGACCCTTCCCTGAAACTTAACAATCATGTAAACATGGTCGTTAAATCATGTTTCTTCCAACTGAGGCGGCTGTCTAAACTGAAGCCCATATTGTCCAAAAAGGACCTGGAGACAGCAATCCATGCATTCATTACATCTAGGCTTGATTACTGCAATTCGCTCCTGTTTGGTATCAGTCAGCCCTCCATAGCACGACTACAACTGGTCCAGAATGCAGCAGCCCAATTTTTAACCAGTACAGGCAAAAGAGAGCACATTACACCAGTTTTGGCCTCACTGCACTGGTTACCAGTTCACTTTCGAATCCAGTTCAAAATACTCCTGTATGTCTACAAATCGCTGAACAGTTTCGCCCCCACCCCACTATCTCTCTGATTTGCTACAGCCGTATGTTCCACCACGTTCCCTGAGGTCAGAGGACCAGTTGCTCCTCACAGTTCCAGGAACTCGTCTTAAGCGCAGAGGTGACAGGGCCTTCAACACCAGATGATCTGTTTTGAAACCATATGCTTCACACAGGTTAGTCTGCATATTTATTATCTGCAATGTTTTTATGTCTATATTCTGATTTACCTCATTTTGTACTTTGCTTTGTGTGTTGCCTGTTTTTCTGTCTGTACAGCACTTTGGTTGGCCTTGTCACTGTTTTAAGTGCTCTATAAATAAAATGGTATGGTATGCTTTGCTGCATATTTAAAAAAAATGCTAACGTTCTAATAATTTTTTAAAGGTCCATGAAAAATAATTTTAGTATAAATAATAATGTGAGAAATTAGGTAGTGAAGATTGGTTGTAATAAGATAATGCATTCTTCTCCTCAGTTATTACAGGATGTAATCTACGCTGCAGGTTCTGGGTCTGTTTGCAGGTGTTGTATGTTGAAAAGAGCTCATTTTATTTTATCTGGTCACATTTGTTGTTTTTCTCACAGAAACCTGATTAGATATGGTCACATGACTGTATGAAGCATCATCGGAAGGAGATAAAATAAAATGTTAATACTAAGATGGAAAACTACTCAACTTGAGGTGATATTAACAAATACAGACACATTAAGTTGCAGATTGATTCTTTATTACAAGGTTTCATTTACGTCAGCATAACCCAGTGACCCGGCTGGATTAAACATGTGGAACCATCTTTAAGGACAGACTGTGCAGGTGGCACAAACAGAGGAGTAGTTTTCAGAACATGGGACATCATTCCACGGTTTATCCTCTTGATAGTTAGTGTGCACACAGTGTTCAGATCTTTCTTGGTTGTTTGGTTCCCCTACAGTCCGATGGAAGAATCGAGCTGCAGAACCATCAGAACACGTCCATTTTCCTTCATGATGTAGATCTGAGTCCAATCCAGGTCCGTTGCTCAGCTGAGCAAAGTAGTACCTGATCGCCAACCACCATCTTCTATATACATCTCACCTCAGTTGGCATGATATGATTGATTAAGTGTGTTTAAAAAGAAAGGTAAGATTAAAAAAAACTAAATGTTGATCTCTTTAAATAAAACCTGCATTTTCATCATTTTCAAAAAAGAGGATAATTTTCAAAATATTCAATTAAAAAAAAGATCAAATATGTTATCACTGAAGATAAGTGGAGCAAGATTCAAGTTAATCAAAGCTGGAAGTGTCACTAAGTGATGTCAGAAGAGGCAGCGGCCTTTTGGTGCACCTCCTCCTGGTCCCCCGCAGACAGACAGTCTCCGAGACAAATCATTTTTTATGATATAGACTTAGAGGTGGAGGAGACGAACTCCAGTGAGCTGTGCAATGACTGCACTGTTGGTAATATCAACTTTGAAAAAAGAAACAGAAGCAGGCCTATATCTGAATTTATCTCCCTAAAATCCAGATTGTAGCGTTGACACCTGAAATGAATCCAAAATTATTTCCCTTGATTAAACACAGAGTTTCTGTGCGTTTGCTGATTTTAACATTTGGTTTCACTACACGTTACTGTGTTAATGTTACTATCAGCTGTCTTTTATCTGCTACTTAGGACAAGCTATGCGAGACGCACAAACAAAAGGATAAGTCTTTGAGCAAGGAATATCATTCCACCTAAAATGCTCTCCATAGTTGGTTTGTCCACAGTGTTCAATTCCTTTCTGATTGTTTGGCTCGTGGTCCTTCCAGTGAGTGAAACTATATTTACACCCATCAGACCACATCCATCCTCCTTCCTTGTGAACATCAGTGAGTCCGATCCAGGTTTCTCCCTGAGAGGGGTCAAAGTTCTTGGTCAGAAACTCAACAAATTGATGTTCTTCCAGACTGTGGATGGACACCAGGTTGGCCTTTTCTGACACACACTGGAGCTCTGCTTCTCCCCAGGTCCGGGGTGTGGCGACATACTTGTAGCAGCGACCGTTGAAGCTGAACCAGAACATGGGACAGTTGCTGCGCTGCAGCTTCAGCTCCTGTCCATCTGAAG